ATTTGATTTAAATCTCATCTTCATAACAAATGGTGCGTAGAGCACCTGGAACATGTAGGCACACAGTAGTAATTCCATTTACTTGTACAAAGTTTTTTTTATTTCTTTTATTCATATGTGCATGGAATTTTTTGGGTCATTTCTCCCCCCTTCCCCCCGCCCCCTCACTACCAGGCAGAAACTATTTTGCCCTTATCTCTAATCTTGTTGAAGGGAGAGTATAAGCAATAATAGGAAGACCAAGGGTTTTGCTAGTTGAGGACTAAGGATAGCTACTACAGGAGTTGAACCTCACATAATTTCCTGTGGCCACGTGTGTACCGTCTAAATCAATTCTTCTCGAACTAACTTTTTTCAGTTCTGATCCCCTGTCTTCTATTGGCCTCTGTCACTTTAAAGTTTCTGCATTTAAGTTCTTTGCATTTGGGACATGCAAATGGTACCTTGTTTTTTGGTTTTCTTGCTTAGCCTTATTTCCTTGTGTGCCCTCGCCTCATCATGTGATAAAGCCAATTCCCTTGTTTGTTTGCCCTTGATCTAATTGTCCGCATACGAGGCGAGGAAATATATGATTTTGTCTTTCTGGGCCTGGCAACCTTTCGCTCAAGGATTTTTTGGGGGATGTTCTGCTAGTTCCATCCAGTTACCTGCAAATGGATAAACATTTCATTCTTCTTTATGGCCTGGAGTAGTATTCCATTTGTGTATAAATACCTACATTTCTTGATCCATTCATGACAGTGGGGCATCTTGGTGTTTCCATAACTGGTTTGTGAATACTGCTTGCAATAAATGGGTGTGCAGGTGGGCCTCTGGAGTAAACTGTGCGGCATTCCTTTGGGTATATCCCCAAGAGTGGGAATTGCTGATCAAGGTTAGATCTGGGGGAATTGTTTAGATTTTTAAGAAGCCTCCAAATTTTTTTCCCAGAGTGGTTGTACTAGTTTGCATTCCCACCAGCAAGTGTACAAGTGTTTCCTTTTTCCCACAATCCTCGCCAACACCAATTGTTGTGGTGTTGCTAATGGATGGCTATCTTAACAAGGGGAGGTGGGAATCTAGTTGTGGTTTTGAATGGTGATTTGCATTTTCCTTAGTGGCTTTAAGAGATTGGTAGCATTTTTTTCATGTGTTTTTTTGGCCTATTGAATTTTTTGCTTTTGAGAAGTTCTGTTTAGTTCACTTGCCCATTTCTTTATTGTTCATTAGTTTTGGGAGAATTAGTTTTTTAAGTTCCTGTATATTCTGGTTATCAGTCCTTTGTCTGATGTTAGTGGCAAATATTTTCTCCCACTCTGTGGGTTCTTGCAGTTTAGAGACCATTTCTTTTTGTATGAACAGAAGCTTTTTAGTTTTATGAGTCCCATTTATCTATTGCTGTCTCTTAGTTGCTGAGCTGCTGGGGTTTCGATTGAGAAAAAGTCCTTTACCATACCTACTAACTCCAGAGTATTTCCTACTCTTTTGTATCACTTAAGAGTTTGGGTCTGATTTAAGATCCTTAGATCCATTTTAAGTTTAAACTGGTAATTAGGGTGATAAACAGTGGATCTAGTTTCAGGTTGTTTGCAGACTGCTAACCAGTTTTCCCAGCAGTTTTTGTTGAAGAGGCTATTTCTCATCGTATATTTTTAGCTCCTTTGTCAAAGACAGTTGGTTATAATTGTGTGGCTTCATATCTGGGTCCTCTATTCTGTTCCACTGGTCTTCATGTCTGTTTTGTGTCCAGTACCATGCTGTTTTTATCTTATTGCTTTGTAAGTATAGTTTTGAAGTCGGTATTGTGATACCTCCTGCATTGTCTTTTGACTGAGTATTGCCTTGGCTATTCGTGGCTCTTGTGTTTCATATAATTTCACAGGTAGATTTTTCAATCTCTTTAATGAATGTCATTGGAATTTTGATGGGAATTGCATTAAAACATGTAGATTACTTTTGGGAGTATCGACATTTTTACTATGTTGATTCTACCAATCCATGAGCATGGGAGATTCTCCACTTTCTATAGTCTTCCTCAATCTCTTTCTTCAGAAGTGTATAGTTTTCCTTGTAGAGGTCATTCACATCTTTGTTAGTTTACACTAGGTATTTGATTTTTTTTGAGGCTATTGTAAATGGAATTGTTTTCATACATTCTTTTTCAGTTTGTCATTGTTAGTGTATAGAAATGCTAATGATTTTTCTATGTTGATTTTATATCCTGCTACCTTGCTATAGCTATTGATGATGTCTAGAAGCTTCTGAGTAGAGTTTTTGGGTCTTTAAGGTATAGGATCATGTCATCTGCAAATAGGATATTTTGACAGTTTCTTTACCTATTTGTATTCCTTTTATTCCTTCTTCTTGCCTAATTGCTCTGGCTAGGAATTCCAGTACTATGTTGAATAGGAGTGGAGATAGTGGGCATCCTGTCTGGTTCCTGATTTTAGAGGGAATGGTTTTCAGTTTTTCTCCGTTAAGTATAATGCTGGCTGTAGGTTTGTCATATATAGCTTTTATAATGTTGAGGTACTTTCCTTCTATTCCTAGTTTTCTTAGAGCTTTTATCATGAAATGGTGTTGGATCTTATCAAAGGCTTTTTCTGCATCTATTGAGATGATCAAGTGGTTTTTGTCTTTGCTTCTGTTAATGTGGTTTATTACGTTTATTGATTTCGTATGTTGAACCACCCCTGCATCCCTGGGATGAAGCCTACTTGGTCGTGGTGAATAATCTTTTTGATGTGTTGTTGAATTCGGTTTGCCATTATTTTGTTGAGGATTTTTGCATCAATGTTCATTAAGGAGATTGGCCTATAGTTCTCCTTTTTGGAGGTGTCTTTGCCTGGTTTTGGGATAAGTGTAATACTGGCTTCATAAAATGTGTTTGGCAGTTTTCCTTCCCTTTCTATTTTCATGGAACAGTTTAAGGAGGGTTGGTATCAGTTCTTCTTTAAAGGTCTGATAGAATTCAGCAGAGAATCCATCAGGTCCTGGACTTTTCTTTTTGGGGAGCTCTTGATTGCTGCTTCAATTTCATTTTGTGTTATAGATCTATTCAGGTGATTAATTCCTCTTGGTTCAGTTTTGGATGATCATATGTATCTAGAAATCTGTCCATTTCTTTAAGATTTTCAAATTTATTTGAATATAGGTCTCAAGTAGTCTCTGATGATTTCCTGGACTTCCATGGTGTTTGTTGTTATCTCCCCTTTTGCATTCCTGATTCTACTAATTTGGGTTTTTTTCTCCTCATTTTAGTCAGGTTTGCCAGGGTCTATCGATCTTGTTTATTTTTCAAAGAACCAACTTTTTGTTTCATTAATTCTTTGTATGGTTTTTTGGTTTCTATTTCATTGATTTCAGCTCTTATTTTTATTATTTCTCTCCTTCTATTTGTTTTGGATTTGCTTGTTCTTGTTTTTCTAGGAGTTTGAGATGTATCATTAGGTCATTGATTTGGGATCTTTCAGTCTTTTAATATATGCACTCATGGCTATAAACTTTCTCTCAGGACTGCCTTTGCTGTGTCCCATAGGTTCCGGTAGGTTGTGTTTTCATTTCATTGACTTCCAGGAACTTTTTAATTTCCTCTTTTTATTTCATCAATGATCCATTGTTCCTTAAGAATGAGTTATTAGTTCCAGCTGTTTGCATGTTTTTTGTCTTTACTTTTTGTTGTTGAGTTCTACTTTTACTGCATTGTGATCAAATAGATGCATGGTATAATTTCTATTTTCTTATATTTGCTGAGGCTTGCTTTGTGCCCTAGGATATGATCTATTTTGGAGAAGGTTCCATGGGCTGCTGAGAAGAATGTATATTGTGTAGAAGTTGGATGAAATGTTCTGTAGACATCAAGTAGGTCCATTTGATCTATGTATATTTTAGAATCTAGGATTTCTTTATTGATTTTTTGTTTGGATGACCTATCTATTGATGATATGGGTGTTAAAGTCTCCAACCACTGTGTTGGCGTTAATATATGCTTTTAGGTCCTTCAGGGTATGTTTGATGAAATTGGGTGCATTGACATTGGGTGCATAAGGTTGATAATTATTTCCTTTTGGTCTATTTCCCCTTTTATTAGTATGGATGTCCTTCTTTATCTCGTTTGATCAATGTAAGTTTGGAAGTCTACTTTGTCAGAGATAAGCATTGCTACTCCTGCCTGTTTTCGGGGGCATTGGCTTGGTAAACAAACTTCCAGCCTTTCATCCTAAGCCTATGCTTATTTCTGTCGG